CACACCTTCACCTCACTGGAACAAAGAGTCCAACAAAAGGAAATCTGGGGCCTAGTTGATCGGATACCATTAGTCCTGTAGAAGCAGTGGGATAGAAGAGGGGTAAAAAAAAAAAAAAAAAAAACCAATTGGATGGGCTTTCTAAGGACTCCATGTAGCATCCGGGCTATTTTGGCAGGAAGTGAAGAGGAGGAAATGGATTAGATGGAGAAAGGCGTGTTTCCCTCTCCATTTGCAGATGAGGACTTGAGTCAAGTTTTAGAAAAGGCAGAATCAACATGGAGGTTGGTTCCGATGGAGGGAACAAAGGAAGGGGGCGCACAAAGAAGACAGCAGCTGCGGAAGTCCTTTAGGAAAGACCCAGGCGCAATGACGAAACGCGAGCGAAGGGGTGGGTTCTGAGGCCCCCTGGAAGCTCCTGTGTTAGGCGGGTCACAAAAGGCGGAAGGGTCAAAGAGGAGTGCCTGGTTGTGGACACTGGGGACTGCCTAGTGAAGTCAGGGAGCGGCTGGTGTGTAGGCAGAGTGATTTCAAACATGGCAGATGGGAAGCAAGATGGAGGCTTTGAGGAGATTTTTCACAACCTATTTCTGGGAAGGGAGGGTCTGAAGTTGAGAAGGGTAGAAAGCATGAATTCATATTGACTATCAGCCATACTAGGATTGGAGATCCCTGAATCAGATAAAAGATTCTTCCGTGAAGGGAAATAAGAGGCACAGTTGCAGAGAGCAGGGAAGACGCCATAGGTGTGTGTGGGGGGGCGGTTCCTGCTCGTACCCTGGCTTCTTGGCCTCTGCACTAGTGACATGGTTTGGAGTAATTCTTTGCTATGGTGACTGTCCTATATGTGGAAAGGGATTATGTGGCTTCCCCAGTCTATACCTAATAGATAGCACCTAGCACCTCCTAAAGTAGTCATAATAAAAATGTCCTCTCGTTTTTGTCCAGATTTCCTCTGGGGTACAAAATCACCCCAGGTTGAAAAACTAAGAATCCTTAGACTGGACTAAAACTCACTATAATTTAAAGGTAAATTCATACAAAGACAAGAGCTCAGTACTGATTGCCCCCTGCCTCCTGCTCTTGTTCTCCTGTAGTGACCGATCAACTCAGTTGGATGAATGGAGCTAAGGGCTGAGCTCTGTTGTATGCCAGCAGCATGGCTCAAGAGCAGCACAAAAGATAACTGGATGACCTGACCAAAGGACTTGGGGAACCCAGTATGGTAAAAGCTGGAGGTGATGAGCATATAGGTTGACTGTGAGCCACACTGACAGGTTGGACTGTGTAGGGAGCCCATGGGCACTGGTGATTTTTCTGGCTTGATAATAAAAAATGCGCGTCTGACATGGGTAGGAAGGGATCAATGTTGGAGTTGGTGAGTGCCTGAGCGGGGGCTTCACCTTGCTCGGATTAATGGTCCCCATTAAAACTGTACGCTAGCAAGGGACCTTTGTACTCCCCTTTTATTGGCATGTATGTACACTTGTGTGCGGGTATGTGCTTGTGGCCAGCGTCTATGTGCCCACATTAGAAGACAACTCGCAGGGGCTGGTTCTCTCTACCATGTGGGTGCCATTAAGCACGCCCCTTTGTCTGCTTACCCAGCTCCCCAGCAAAGGACTTTAAAATATCTTCCCTTGTCCTGTTGATTTTGTAGTAGGGGAGGAGGTAAATGTTCAGAGGTGTTGAGTAAAAACAAGGAAGGCGAGTTGGCTCTAGTCATGAAGCAGTGGAAAAGGGAGTTGGGGCAGGCAAGTGCCCAAAGAAGGCTAAATAGGTGTGAGGCACAAAAGCTAAGTACAGGGCCTTGGCCTCGTCCACACGAGGAATGTGCTAGAGTGAAAGGCTGTAGGGTTTGCTGTATTAGAAAAGGGTGGTAAGTGTTATTTATGCTCCCATTGGATTCTGCTTCTCGGGAGTAACGTCAGCCTGCTCAAAGCGGCTGGCCCAGGTGCCCAAGCATCACCAACTAAAACTCTCCCTCGGCTTCGTTAACACCTAAAAAACCATGGTCCCCCCCTTTTCTGTGATAGGATTCCACATCTTAGGCTTGTAGTGTTTGTTTATGATCAGCAATTAGGTTTATATTTACATTTTAGGATTTTTTTTTTAATACTGCAAAAGCCCACGGCCCACCCAGATAATCAAGTAGCCGCTAGAGCTTTTCTTGAGTCTTCCCCTGTAGCCTCAGAAGAGAAAGCCAAGTAGAAAAGGTCCCTTGGGAGGAAGAGAGGGTAGAGTGAGCAAGAGGGAAGGGAGCAGAAGCCAGGAACAGCACGGCCACCGGCCGTGAGATTCCTTTTGGTGTGTGGCCTTGGGGAAGGGGCGGCCTGCAGGGGAGGGGACCCTTCTCTGTATATAGCTCAGGTTTGTGCCATTGACTCTCAGGCAAAGGAAACCAACACAGAAAAAGAGAAAATAGAGAAAGGATTCAGGCAACCACTAAGTTTCTAACTAAGCTTCCCGATGACAAAGGTTTTCTGAGTGCTTCCCTGAGTAGCAATAAGACATGGAAGCTGTTCAATTAATTATTGTTCAATTAAGACTGCTGTAGCCCCCTCCCCCCTTCTCTGCCAGCGTTGGCCGGTGGAGGCAGCAGCCGCTTACTGCTATCTGCCGAAGGGGGCTACGTCTCTGGCCTGTTTCAGGCCGACGCTAATGAAAGGAAAGATGCCTCTAACAGATAGGGCAAGATATTAGACTGGGGACTGATGGGGGATGAAATGATGCTTATGAATGTAGACCATCAGGTCTGGATGAAAATCCCTGATAAGAATTCAGGCCCCTCACTCAGGCTTGTTAGCCCTGGTTCAATCGACGCGGCCTTCTTTGTAGAAGGGCCACCAAATTGTGCCTCAGCCCAACATGCTCCTGCCACGAGGTATCCACACGGTGCTATGGTTTCTTTGTGCGGAACAGCTGAGGATGCCACGGAGGCTATGGTGGGAGAAGTACCTATTTCAGCTGAGAGGAGACACTCGGGGAAGGCTGCTAGCAGCCAAGTGGGGTGGGGTGGAAGTAATGGGGGGTAGGGTCCTGGAAGGTGGGTTTAGTGGAAAGGCTATTTAAGATTTCTGTAGCTCTTGGTGGAAATTCCAGGCACCCTGAGGGCTTCTGGGGCCTAAATGCTATTTGAATTTAAGGGGAATGGTGTATTTCACCTTCTCACACAACCTCAATTACCCAAAGCAAATTTTCCTAACGAAGTCTAATTGGAACAGTAACATAAGCCAGGACACTCAGACAGCTCTTGCCTGGGGGAAGGGAAAACCTGCCAACTTTGGCTGACCATCAGTCGGGTCTGCACTCCCAAGTCTGAGAATGGGAGGCTCAGAGGCTGGCCTTCCCCAAGTCAAAACCCAATGCTGAGGTTTTAAATTGTTAAATAAGATTACTGGCTTTTAAGTCTTTTTGGTTGATGCATTTGAAGTATATGTACAAAAACTCCATTCTGTAGACGAAGCTGAAGTCCCTGAGCTAGGTCTGTGAGGCCGTCAGGGGACAGTGACTTCAGGTTGGCTATCTGAAATCCTCACTAGCGGCCATCTTTGGCTATTAAGAGATGCCGCCTGCTCCTTGTTGTACCTGGTTTTAACCCCCTTCAGTTACTAGAGACTTGTGGCCAGCCATATCTGACTGTAGCCTCAACCTTTTTCTTCCTTTTCTCTTCAAAATGCTTTTGCGTAGCCGTAAATTTTCCGGCTTTGTGGTCTCCCTCCTTTTCTACACCTTGTTCTTGGCTCCGGCCGGGAGGCTTCGAATTTCGCTCTTTATTCTCACTACCCCCTTTGTCTATTCTCACTACCCCCTTTGTCTATTCCCACTACTCCCTTTGTCTTCCTCATTTGCCTCAAATTACTGCCTTCCTTCAACTATCCTGTGTTCTTATCGCTTGAGTTTAACCCTGGGGCAGCCACATCCCCTTTCGGGTGTGTAATGTGCTCACCCTAAAATAGGGCCATAGGAAAAAACATACAGGCTGTGCCGTGCACACTTGAAGCACGGTAGGCAGCCTCCAGCTCCATCCCCAACAGTGTGCAGTGGAGGCACTGGTCTGCCAGCCCCCTACCGTGTCCTGCCTCTGTTGGCTGAGCATTGTGTGGCTCCCCAGCCATATGAACTATCCTTCCTCCTGGTTGTAGAGAGGGCTCCCCATCAAGAAGGTTTTGAAAAAAAAAAATAACACTAGTAAAATTTGACCTTTTTTTTTTTTAATGCCTGAAAAGGGACTAAAACATAATATAAACTGTGCTAGTAAGCCAGTCATTTAATTTGCAGAACCAATATTGGAGAGAAGTGTTTGCTTTGTTTGCCCCAGGCAATGGAGCCAAATTAGTTGTGCATATGTGCATGTTTGTTTGTGTGTGTGTCTATGTATTTGTCTTTGTGGTGTGTGTGTGTGTGTGTGTACTCAGCTGTTATCATGCAATGTATAAAAGATACGGTAGTGCTAAAATTTTGTGGAGACAGGGTCCGTGAAAGAAAAGGCTGGAGAAATGGAGAAAAGCTCTTGGGGGAGGGAGTGATAATGAAAAGTAAGTGAAAGACAGAGAAGGCTCATCCCAATTAGAGAGAGCCTCCTCCAAGCTGGCTATTTAAACTACATTTGTCAATCGGCCGGCTCCCATAGTGTCCCTGTGGGTTTGCACCACAAGGGGATAATGCAGGGGGGGAAAAAACACCACTACTCCCAACATTGAAGGGTGCTCTTAAGAATGCCCCCACGCAGAACAGTGAATCCTGCATTCACTACCAGCCCTCTTAAATCATTTTTGCCACAAGCTGAAAAGCATATTTGACAAAACTAACGTCAGACCAACACAAAACAGATTTTTTGACGGCTGGCACTTTTTATCAATCCTCGTTTGAGACTTGGGACTTCATTAGGGCTAAAGTCACTGGCTTTACATTCAAGTTATAGGGTCATTTTGTTCGGCTAGGGCATTTTAGAAGACACTGAGGCAGAAAGGGGCGCTAGGGAAGACTGAAGCCAGTCAACAGGGTGGGATAGGGCAGCCTAGACTAACTCCATATCTTCTGTCGGCGATTCTGCTGCCCTGTGTGGGTTTGCAACTAGAGATTCACATCTTATTTCTGGGCATTATTTTAGAGGGGAGCAATATTTCAGTTGGCATATGACATCACTGTTCTCTAGCCCTGCTGGGTTTGATTTTCCTGGTTTGTGTTTGTGATACATTGCCACCCTGCACGCCCCAAGCTGTTGTCACTGCTCAGTGACAACAGGGAGAGATTAACTAAAATACATATTTAAAAAAAAAAAAGAACTTTATTCTTACCAGTACCGATGTTTCAAATTTCTTGTTAACCGAATACAGCTGCTAAAATGGAGGCTAAAGAGTCAAAGGCTGTGAACAATTCCAGAACAGTAGTAGCTTCAGCTTCAGGTGCATCAAAACAAAACAAAACAAAACAAAAACCTTAGCGGCCTCATCTAGAATTTACGTACCCCATCTCAGTTTCCAATTCTCATATATATATATATATATATATATATATATATGTATATATTCTAAGGGTTTTTTGATAAACTAAAAAAAATACTTACATCTGGATTTTGCCATCACACGGTATTTGAACTCTGCCACATAAAAAAAATTCACTTAAATTCATTGATTAGCTCACCCTTCCCCCACAGAAGGAAACTTTTTCCATTAAACAAAAGATTAATGCAGTGAAGAATCCTAAGTGCTAAGGCACATAGTTTTAACTAGTTTTGCTGCGGACGCCCCGCCCCCCACCCCGCCGCAGGGGTCTAGAGGGGTCTGGTTTTCCCAGGGCAAATCTCCCTCAGCCACCACCTAGGTTAAAGGGAAAGCCAGCCCATTCAAATGCTAACCCCAGCTTAACACGGTTGAGACAAAGACCAGTTGGGAGGCTAGGGAGCTGGGAATGTTTGAGAACCTGCTAGAAAAATCCCTGAAAAGGGAAAAAAAGTAGCTGAACCCCAGTGACTGTTTGGAGTCTCTATTTCACAGAATGTAGGCTTGGAAGATGTGTTTAGCTAAACCTTGCCTTGTGTGGGTGGTGGGTGCCTTCCCAAGTGCGCTTTACTCCTGTATACCCCCGGGGCTTTTTCGCGTGAAGTCAGAGTAGCCCTGGGGAGGGGGGAGGGCTGGGCTGGTGGGTAGCAGGCTGGGCTGCAAATGTGTCTGCTGTGACTCGGGTATACAGTGGAAGATTACTGAGAGACAGCAAAATGCGCGTTCTTATTTGGGTGTCCCGTGTATGAGCCTGGCACACTGCTCAGTTAAGACTTCTTTTTCGTTGTTTTGTTTTTTGTTTTGTTTTGTTTGTTTTGCTTTTTTAAAAATTTATTTAATTAATTAATTTATTTATTTTGTGTGGGCACAGGGTTTCTTTTTAACAGCCCTGGCTGTCCTGCAACTAGAGATTAGGCTGGTCTAGAAGGCAGAGTTCCGCCTGTCTCTACATACCCCCTCCCCCCACCTAGTGCTGGGATTAAAGGCGTGCGCCATCAAGCCTGGCTCTGGGCTTTTTTTTTTTTTTTTTTTTTTTTTTTTTTAAGAGAAACGTCAGCAAGGTGGTGGGGGCTATAGGGACTGGAGATCACCCTTTTAAAATTGTATTCATCCAGCAACAGGGCAGCATTCTAATTTAGCTAATGAAGAACCCAATTTTGATGAAAACACGCTAAAAACCGCGGCATCTCCACCTGTTAACTAGAAACCTGTTGCTTGGGAAATTCAGGCTACTAAAATACATTACTAGATAAAATGGCACCTAACGTCAAGAAAACGTCACCATCATTGTTTTATGTTTTCTAGAATTTTAACTTGGTAAAGATGTATTTTACTTAGGCAATTTCACGCATTCAAACCAATAGCCCCCCCCTTCTTTTCCGCAGGCTACGCACGCGTCACGCATCGTCTACCCACGCAATTAGCCGCACTGCGTACAGCCCACCCTCACTTAAAGTCTGGGGACTGCGACGCCATCCCAGGTAACAGGGTAGGTCCTGGAAGGAGACTATGTAATGCATTCATTACTTTTAGCACCATTTCTCCTCTTAGGAGCGCAGGAGCCCAGCTGCTTTTGATTTCAAGCCTTGAAAACACATTCCTTAACCAGATTATCCAAATCATCCCATCAAAGCCACACAAACCGCGGCATGACCAGACGCACGCACTTTAAAAAAAAAAAAAGTTTCCAAATAGGTAAAATATAGTAGGTGCCTTTTACTTTCTATCAGCCTTTCTAGCCAAGGTTGGAGAGGAAAGCATTCCAAGGTGTGTTACGGGCTTAAGGCAGTTTGGGAACTATCACTGCGGATCTCCCCTCAGGTTACAGATTGCAAATACAGCCCCGCCCGAGCTGAAGATGGCCAAAATGGCTGTAGCACGTCCTCCCTGCCCCCTCTGCGTCCTAAACGCAGGATCCGACATCTTCCCAACTCGCAAGTGGCACGATCTTTGGGGGCGCCTTGGAAGGTGTCCAAGTGCTCCTCACGACCCCCCTACTCAGCCTATGCCTCAATCCGCTTCACCTTTCCACCCACGACTACTTAGTACGACTCTCATTCCTTCTCCCCCGCCTCTAGGGCCTAGGCGCACAGTCCCGGACCTCTTCAGACAAGTCGGAACCGCCCAACCAGCTGTACTACCTAAAGGTTAGCAATACCCCAGTGTGATCCTGTCTGTGCTGCCAAGAAGGGCACCCCGAAAGGTCCCTGTACCTCCACCTGGTGCCCTCCAAGCACCATTTGCTACCAACAGACGCCTAGCCTAGCCTATCCGCTTGGGAAGGTTGGCTCTAGGGCGCACGAGAGAGGTGCGCGCACTCCTTTTCACGATCCGTGGCATCCGCAAACCTCCAGAGGTGAGCGGTGCTGGCCAAGACTGCTTGCACGGCGTGGGGAGGCACTGGCTCCAGGGTCCCGCAGCCTCCAAATTGGCCATGCCGGGACCCGATTTCCAGGCCCCAAGCCGGCTGAGCGCACGTGCGACTTTGCTCTGGAGCCTACAGGCTCCACAGTTCTCACCCAATCCCAGCGCAGTTAGTTACTTTCTGCGCATTGCAACAGTGTATCTGATCGCCCAAGTTGGTGCGCGCACCTCCTCACAGAGCCCAGTGGGCTCTAGCCAAAGCCAACTCCAGCGCTGAAAACTAACCTTTCTAGGAGGAGGAAAGATTAAAAAATCAAAATAAAAAAAGAAGAAAAACGTAGAAAACAATTGACTTACTTTTGCCGTTTAGGTATGCAGCTCCAAACCTGGGGCGCACTCAGAATTCAGTGTCGCACACCGGGTGCCAGCTCGGGGACCTCAGGTTGTCTCCAGCAAGGCTCCAGGAAAGCCTCGCCGTCCAACAAACCTTTGGCCTCCCAAGCGCCCCGGGGTGCCCTGGAGAAATTAAAGGAGCCCTCTCTCCTTTCCCAGGGTGCGTTTTAGCCTGATTAGTGGACACCGCTCACTCCCTATCTTGTCCCCGACCGGTCCCCTTCCTCCCACCTCACTGTCTCAGGGTCCCCAGTTTGGTCAGGGCAACTAACCTTTATCCATGAAAACAAGGAGAATCTGGACGGAGTCACCCATTAGTGACGCCGGATGGGGATGGGCCCCTTTCTGGGAGGGGACTCCGGGGACTGGTCGCGGCGGCGGCGGGCGAGCCTCCTGGTCTTGCAGCGGCGGGGCTGCCTCGCCTCCTCCTGGCGCTCGTCTGAGTCTGACTCCTCGGGGTCCCGAGGATCCTGATCTAAGGGCCCGCGCTGGGGCTCCTCCCCCTCGCTGTCGCTCTCGCTCTCCTGAGTGGTGGGCTGCGCACGCCGCGGGGAGGCGTCGGCGCTCTGCAACTTCAGAGCGTGCAGACGCTGGGTGAGAGACTGGTTGAAGGTGGCGCCCCGGGGGCCGCGCTCGTCCTCGGGCTCGGTCTCCGGCTCAGTTGCGGGGGCGGTGTCAGACTCGGTCTCCGTCTCAGTCTCGGTCTCGGACTCGATGTCAGACTCGGTCTCAGTCTCAGTCTCGGTCTCCGTCTCGGTCTCGGACTCGGTCTCAGACTCGGACTCGGTCTCAGACTCGATGTCGTCGTAATCTAGGCACTCGGGGCGGGCTAGCACAGCTCGGGGCAGCTCAGCTCGGGGCAGCTCAGCTCGGGGCAGCTCAGCACGGGGCAGCTCAGCACGGGGCAGCTCAGCTCGTGCCCCCTCGAGCTCCTGATCAGACTCGGATTCGGGGGACTCGGGGAGAACCTGCGCAGCGGCGGCAGCGGCAGCGGCGGAGGGGGGGTGGGCGTTAAGGAAGCTCCGACGCTGGGCAGCACGCTGCTGGGCACGGGCGTTGGAAGAGGCTAGGGCGCGGAGGAGCGCGATGGAGCAGGAGAGCCAGAGGAGCGCGGTGGCGGCCCGGCGGCCTATGGGCGGGCACAGGTCGTTGTAATTATGGCGAGCTCGGCGCCACTGCTGAGCCCGGGACCTGCGATCCATGTCTCCTAGGCGCTCACCGAGAAGCCGACTCACCCTCTGGCTCTGCAGAGAGTGGCCCCACTGCGCAAGAACTGCTGAAGCCGAAAAGGATGAACCTTATGAGGTGAGAAGCTGGGTCCGGAGACCCCAGTCTCACCTCGGGGAGAAAAGAAGGGGATGCACCTACCTTCCCGACCACAGCGAACTTTCTAAGCCTCCGCGCCTCAGCCCGCGTCTGTAAGTAAAAGAAAGGGAAGGGTAAAGCCGAGAGAAGGGTTGTCTCCTCCGGGGCGCCTCTCGCTAAGTCTCAGACTCTAAGTCTCAGACTGCGAGAGGTGCCTCCGCTGGTCCTCTCGTCTGGGAGAGGACAGAGGAGACTGAGGAGAGATGGGGCAGCGAGGTCCATATAAAGTTGCGCGGACTTCTGCCGGGCATGTGCAGTAGGGAGGTGGGGGTGCCTCCCGCCAGCTGCGCGGTGGCGCATAGCCGGTGGCGCAGACTCTAGTGGGCCGCCAGGTGGCAGGCAGGAACCTTGTTTGAGACGATTTCGCCAAAGAAGTTGGGGTGGGGGGGGCGGTGGGATGCTAGCGAGTTATAGCGAGCGAAGCCAGCAAGACAGCTACAGGTTAGCGGACTGGAGAAGCTGAGTGGGGTTTTCTCGCGGGGTTTATCCCACTCCTCAACTTCTCCATGAACACAGCCATTGAACAACAGAAAACCAGGACACAAAATTGCAAACAGTGGGATAAGGGCCGTCCATGAGTATTAAAGACCTCGCACCAGGCATTCTCCAAGGGCTTGATGGTTTGAGGGATCGGAACCTCAATTAAGTAGCCATTAATGACAACAGGGCTGTTTCTTTTTGTTGGGGCTGTTACGGTAACTGTAGTTAGAACAGCTTCCAAACAGTGTGCACCCCGTCGACAGACAAGCCCTCCCTCGAGAAAGGCCCCCCGTAGCTGTAGAGGTGGGAGTTTGCAAGGCGATGTTTAGCAAATGGTGAAGTCTGTTACATTGAGGTGTGCTGGAAGACCATAAAGAAAGCTGAGAGCCGCCAGGAGAAGGCCCTACAGCCGATATCTCTGCGTGGCTTTTTGGGGTAGTCGTTGAGCAGACTCATAGCTTTCAGCTGAGAGGGTTCAACCAACAAACCAGAGTCTCTGCCTCAGGCGGAGCTCTGTTCTAGGTGCTGAAGACGGCAATGAACCCAAGCAGGTCTTAAATTAGAGAAGTGGTGTTGAGGGGTTAATGTACTTTAACCAGAGCCTCAACTCGTTTTTCCAGCATCGTCACTTCTTCCAGCTCACATTCTACATGAGAAAAACAGGTGCGTCGATCAGAACGTCATGGCTAGGGGGCGGCCAGAGACCACTAGATCGTGGTATTGGTCTCTGAAGCCTAAGGAATTGGAGGTAAGTAGTCTGTCTGCTCCTGAGCCCTGGGAAACAGGATGAATTCGGTAGGTCCGGGAGGGGATGGATCATGGATCCCTGTGGTGGGAAGTTCTCAGGTTCCACCTGTGTGTGACCGCTGTTCTTGGGGGGTGGGGGAGGCGGTAGCTGGGGGTGTCATTTATCTTGCCTTGCTTGTTCAAATATGGAGTGGGGGGGGGGGTCTTCTTCTTGTTATTTGTTTTTTTACCTCAGGGACAAGCAGAGCTGTGTGCCTGGGACTCATGAACTCCCAGCAGGGTTATTTTACATGGGACACATGTCACAGGTTGGGCTGGGGTTTTTTGTTGTTGTTTGTTTGTTTGTTTGTTTTCTTAAGTCCCTGTGAAGAAATCCAAAGAAGAGGTGCTGATGCCTCTCCAAACTCTGCTCCCCCAGGTCTCCTTCCTAAGGTGGAATTCTCAGTCATGTCCTAAGCTGGTGACACCCATGGGTCACTTAGCTTTATACCCTTAGCACTAGGCTTTGTTAAAGCTTCCAGATGCAGGTTAGGGGCTCAGGAAGAGCCCCACCACTGCTCTGGATGGCTTGAGGATTTTGTTTCCGTCACTTGCCTGTGTCTGTGCTTCATCTTGTGGTCTGGGAGTTGGTGTGTAGCCTTGAAATGCTAACTACTCTGATAGAGCAGGGTTGGTTTAGCAAAGCTCACAAGCAAGCATATGGCTGGCTGTATTCTAGCTGTGCCCTGCTGACTCTTGGGGATACTGTTTATGAGACCCTGTCTCATGGGGTAGGGTCTGAGGGATCTGACCACTTCCACATACCTTCCTCTTTTTTTTTTTTTTTTTTTTTTTCCACTTAGCACAGCTCTGCCAGCAGCATATGGTACACAGAGACATTGGTCAAGCTGATTTTAGGGCATATTGAGGGAGAAGTTAGGCCTGTGTGGGTGCTGGTAAATGCCCTTTTGATGGAAACTGATGCCTGCTGTCCACAGTGAGGTAGGTATAGTTCTTTAGTGTATGGAGAAAAGTGCTTCATTTTTCAGATGGAGTGCTTTATGCCTATAACAGAGATGACAGCCCAGAGCCAGCTCACTAAAACGAACACACTAAGATTGCCTGCCTGCATTATTAAAAAATATGCATTACATAATACATATTTTTGGACTAGGATTCTGCATTAGCAATGCTCTTTTTTTTTTTTTTTTTTTTTTTTGCAAGATGCATTTTAATCAGCCAGTGGACATTTAACAAAACACTGCATTTTCAAGCCCCAGTCATACAGTTACAAATTCATTTCAGCATGTGTTCAGTGCAAGCTTCAGGAGGAGCAGGGGCTGCACTGAAAGACAGTTCCATCTTGCACTTAGTGCCGAGGTCGAGCAAATGGATCTGCACAGAAAATGCTCTTTAAAATGCATTATGTGCATGGCTTTAAAAAGTGCTTGCTGCAGAGTGAATTTCAAAAGGGACCAAGTGGGTGATGAATGACCTTGGTTGTTACCAGGCTAAGGAACAAGGGGCTCTCTCTCTGTGTCTACCCGGTAAATAAAGTGTGCTCGTACATCACCTCCCGGTTCTGCCAAAGGGAGGCTCCTAAACCAGCTGGACAGGAAAGCAGTTTCCAGTTCATTACAATACCACACAACGGGTTTTTATTTGTATGTACTGTGAAGACGGTTGTCCTGTGGAAGAGGCTTTAGAGTCACTTCACATAGCTTCAGAGGGCAAAATTAAAACCTATGGGTGGCGTTTACAGATAGGCTTCAGCCCAAGGAGGAATGTTCTAGCAATCAGGGCTGGGAAGTGGAATGCCTGCCTCAGAAATTGTGCTGGGGCAAAGGACAGAGATGACCATGATGTCCTGGAGCTGTTTCCATGCTGCTCATGAGCCCACTAGAGCTAAACCCAAAGGACAGAGATGATCATGATGTCCTGGAGATGTTTCCATGCTGCTCATGAGCCCACTAGAGCTAAACCCAAAGGACAGAGATGATCATGATGTCCTGGAGATGTTTCCATGCTGCTCATGAGCCCACTAGAGCTAAACCCAAAGGACAGAGATGATCATGATGTCCTGGAGATGTTTCCATGCTGCTCATGAGCCCACTAGAGCTAAACCCAAAGGACAGAGATGATCATGATGTCCTGGAGATGTTTCCATGCTGCTCATGAGCCCACTAGAGCTAAACCAAAGGGTGGGGCTACAGGAGGGGGTTGGGGGCTGAAGCCTTTCCACTCTGCTTCTGTTTCAGGAAACTTGGAAGGTGCCTGCCGGTGGTGACAGAAAGGAGTGTTTGAGTGGCAGATTTGAGATAACCCAGGTAACCACAAATGGACCCAGTGGCCTGTCTTGGAACTCTTGTTGGTTGGCAGGGCTCTGAGGTTCTTTGCTCTACAACATGCACTTTCTGGAGCAAAGACATTAGTCAGGCCCATCTATTAATTACTTTGGCTTTCTTTGCCCCCTCCTGGAGCTGTCTCGGAAATTACAAATGAAATTGGCTATTTAGCAATCACGAATTGAGTCACTTCTATGACCAAGACACTATTCCTGGCATTGTGGGGAGATTGAAGTCAATGAGGATGAACAATTCCTGCCATCCAGCAGCATGCAGATCAATGTGAGATGCCCTCAATATTAACAACAGACTACCAGTGGGCACAGAGTCACAAATTCTACCCTAGCAAGTGAGCAGGGGAGGAAGGCTGAGAACCATACTTGGAATCATAGGTAGAGTTCTAGTTTCTGGGGCCAGTGCTGATTATTGTTGTCTATTTGTCTATTAAAAACCTAGTCCAACTTTGAGGTGTTTTTTTTTTTTTTTTTTTCCTTCCAAACTTGTAAGAGGATTGGTAGTTCCAATCTACCTGTTCCCGTGTGCAAAGCAATGTGTTTGTCGCTCTGGGCAACAGATGGGTTCCATGAGTCTGTAAAGGCTTGCAGGCTATTGTCAGAGGTCCTACAGATGCCAGTACATTTTCCAAGATGAGACTTAAGATAGAGTCTGGATTCTACTCTCCTTAGCAAGCAGGTACAATCGCTCTTGAGCATGTTTTTTGGACAATCATTGGAAAGGACTATTTTTGGAGATGGAGAGCTTTTCAAACTTTCTTTTGGAGAGAGATGAATTGAGGGACATTGAAGTGCTCCCCACCCCTCACTGTGGCAATCAGCCAGGAGGGCTCAACCTCACTGGGAAATTGGCACAGGCCCCTCCCCTCCTGATCTCCAAGGGGACTAGGCACAATGTGGGAACATTTGGTTCATCTCTCCAGGACGCTGTTTTGCTGTTAACTCAGGCTGCACTGATCTCCTCTGGCTTTCACCAGTAAAATGGTGAAAACTCCAGCCTCCTGATTTTGTGATTTAGGGGAGAGGCCAGCTAGAGCTAAAAGCAAACACTCGGGGGAAATAGCCATCTTTAGGGTTCTATGGTGACCATCGTTGGGTTCATCTGTGCTGTGTCTGTGGGGAAGAGGTGGATGGAGTCAGAGATAAACACAACCACCACAGAGGAGTCTTAAAGTTGCCCCTTGCCCTCTACTCTATGCAAATCAGCACACACACACACAGCAAACACACACACAGCATGCACACAGCAAACATACACACAGAGAACGCACACATAGCATATGCACAGCATGCACGCGTGTGCACACACTTACACACACACACACAGCAAACACACACACAGCATGCACACAGCAAACATACACACAGAGAACGCACACATAGCATATGCACAGCATGCACGCGTGTGCACACACCTACACACACACACACAGCAAACACACACACAGCATGCACACAGCAAACATACACACAGAGAACGCACACATAGCATATGCACAGCATGCACGCGTGTGCACACACACACACACACACACACACACACACACACACAGTTCCTTCTTCCATAGAATGAGTGATTTCTAGACTCAGGAGCCCAGTAGCTTCTTCCTTCACTCACATAGAGCTTCATGTACAGGCTCTGCTTGAAAAGGGACCCTCCTTGTTGGGTTTTGGCCCTGGAGCTTGTGACCCTTGTTTTACACTGTTTGCACACTTCCCAGCCTAAAGTTGGCATTTGCTCGCCTACTCCTCTGTGGTGGCTACCTGAGATATCAGTGTGTAAGAAATCACTAGCTCAGAGGCCCTGGTTTGGACGTCTTCTGCCGCAACTTCTGCCTGGAACCGGTGTCTTGAGATGGAAATACTGCTGGTTGCTAGGGCCCTGGCTGTCCAGAAGATCCTTGGCCCCCAGCTATGCCTTTGTCCAACTTTCCTGAGTATCTCAGCGCCCCACCCCCACCCCAGCTTCAGCCACCCACAGGGACAGAGAGCCTCAGAGCTGTTTTCATCTTGCCTGAAGTTCTGACTCACCCTTCAGACCTGGGGGAGGGAGCCAGGGAGTGGTTGAGCCTACAGCCCAGAAGAGAGAGAGCCCTTAGTAGTGTCATGGTTCATGCTCATGCTCATAGACTCCTTTCAGCTTGAGCTCTTCAAACTCTGATTAGACCAATTTTACATGTCTAGTCACTGAGGCTGCAGTAGATTGGGACTCTTTCTATATGTGCAAAGTGAAGTGGAGAATTGAGGCAATTATCTTCAGGCAAATGAGTCTGGGCTCTGTAATCAGTCTGTCCTGATAACTGGGCAAAATTGGCCTCATGCACAGAGCTTTGCTTTGAGTTAAAGAGGATTCTGAGGTATTTGTTTATTATTTTTCACTTGGCTTTGTTTTTCAAAGGCAGCCTAGTAGACATCCCATTCTGCCCTATGCAATGGTTGAGCCGTACGTACCCTGTGCCCACATGGGCTCAACATACCATCCAGAAGTTGTGCCCTTGTGTGTGGTCAATCCCAGGCTCCCTTTGCCCTTCCAGTGGACACCCTTTCTCTATGCAGCACACGGAGACGTCGAGCCATGGTGTTGATGTTAACCTGCAGGGTTAAGGTGACATGAACCCTAATGGGACCAGGAAGACTTGGCATGATACGCGATGAAGCTTAGAGGACTGAAGTGTAGCTCTTAGGTCCAGAAATGAAGACAATGGTCCCAGCCTCACTGTTGTGTCTAAAAACCTCCATTAATTGTAGGCCTTTCTTCATGTTGGCCATGGCTTCCCTCCTGGCCCATCTGTCGTCTGTGCTGAAAGGAGGAAGACCCAGAAGGGCCTGAGTAGGTGGGTGGGTTTTCATCTGAGTAGCCGGATGAAAACTCCAGTCCTGTAATCCCCCATGGTTCTCTGGGAAGGTCTGTGGTACCTACGGGGTGCCCACCTGATAGATGGGTGATGGAGATTGGGCAGGAGATGAGCCTGCAGTCTCTGCAGTCTCCCTCCCCATATGCATAATTAGAGAACAATGTGGGTTTAATTAGCTACCTCAGCATGCTTTTGACTGTAAGTGCTGTAGGGATGACGAGCTTGAGATGGACCTTGGGAAATTGGAAATTAAGAAAGAGTGCTTTTCCCCAGGGTCATGAAATCTCTCTCTTGTCCCTTTGAAATTTTCTGATCTCTCTGTTATTAAAAAGAAAGCTTGGAAAACGAGAAAGACAACCTTGCCGTTTATACTGGGGCTAAGAGGGTTTTAAAAGACATCTCTGCCCTCTGAGCATTGATGCCTTATGTGGTCTGCACTTTTTATTGTGATCTGCTTTATTCCTATTGAGTTTGTTAAATTGTACCGTCTTCCCGATGCTTCCCTCGGTTGGTTTACAGCCAGGCAATCGTTGTTTTATGCTGTGTTTTAAGACCCGCCAGAGCCTGTGCCTTCTTTCCAGATACTGTTTCCTAGTTCTCCGATGGTTTTGCCCATTTATTTTCCTATACAAATTTAAAAACCATTTTTATCAAGTTCTGTAATGACCTTGGTGATGTTTTGCCTGGAACTGCATTCAGTCTGTAAATTAAACAAGGAAGCACTGTGGTCTCTCCTGCATTTAGTCTTAAGCCCGGAGTCTGGTCTCTTCATTTATTCAAGTCTTTCCCACATTAAGGGCTTTTATTTTCTTTACACAATTTGAATGTAAAATGTGGCATTTGATGCTTGAAAAGATGGCATACATAGGTTTCTTAGGCATTTGATATTTCTGTTGCTCTGTGAATGGGCTGTCTGTTTTTCATTAGGTTTTCAGGCTGTTTATAACGCGTTTATGGGATGATATTGATTTCTGTACATTTTCCTCATAATTCTGCTACTTCGAGAATTGCCTGGTTGATGAGGCCCCCCATGACTCCCCGGTGCATGCTCAGCTGACTTCTGGGGGGAGCTGTGGAGGGCTCAGCTTCTCTACAGATACCCCAGCGCTGGTCGAAGGGGAGTGAAGATGGTGAGGATGGTACCCTGAGCTTTCACCACTGGAGCTGAGCTGGGGAAGGTGCTTCCTATGACTGGGGCTACTCAAGCCTCCTACCTTTGGGATTCTGTTTTTTGTATTTTTGTTTTTCTTTTTTAGAAGGACAGAAGATGGTGATAAGTTTGTATGGGGGTATTTGTTTTGCTTTAAGTTTTTAGGTATTTTAAAATATAAGGATTTTTTTTTTAATCAAACTGGATTCTACCATTCCCCCAATAATTTAAATAGAGCCGGTATTAGGAACCTAAGCAAGCCTTAACAACTACAGAAACTAAGCAGTTTCCTTGTGTTGTATCTTCTAATAGTGTCAAGCTACTAATTAACAGGAGAAACTATAGAACATTCACAAACTCAGGAGACCAAACAGCACACTTCTGGGTGATAGACAGTTGAATATAGAGACTGATGAGGAGATGGAGTGGAAATAAAACCCAACAGACCCAATCACTGGCAACGAAGCCATTTGAAGAGACTGCTTACATCTCACTCAGCACCTTAAGAAAGAGCGAGACCAGCTCGGTCTTGGTCAAGTTGTTCTCTGACCTCTGTACATAGGTCTCTCTCTCTCTCTCTCTCTCTCTCTCTCTCTCTCTCTCTCTCTCTCTCTCTCTCTCACACACACACACACACACACACACACACACACACACACACACTCCCTAAACAAACAAATAAATAAATGTTTAAAAAGAACACTCAATTCTAAATGAACAGCTCTGTTGATACAAGTCAGGGCCTTAGGCAAACATGAACAATTAAAAACCAGAATGGGTAGCTGAGTGACAATTACATTGGGGCAGAAACCAGCAAAACAGAAATGTTAAAAATACAAAGAATCAATGAAACAAAGAGCTGGTTTTCTGAAAAGATGATTAAAGTTGGCAAGCCTTTAACCAAATGAAAGGAACAGAAGACTCATTAGTCATTAGACATGAAAATGGAGGCATTATAGCAGA